TGTATCATTCGACACCTTTATCACTGGTCACTGCCAATATCATGGCACTCACCTTATAATGTAAAAAATTAAAACAAAAACAAATACAAACAAAAAAGCATCAACAACAACAACAACCACATACCCCCTAGCAACGCCTGAACACCTTTTGTGATTTTCTCGAAATCATCACCGTTGCTCTTTGTGTCATCTATCGTCATAGCGTCTGTCCATCGTTGCCACTGAAGTGCAAATGACAATTGGAAAAAAAAAACAAAATAAATAAACAAAAAACAAAGAACACACACACCCAATAAGCACACTCACTCAGTCGTTCACTTACATATTCGGTGAGTTCTCATTCTGGGAATAGCATCTGTTGCAAATAAATCACAACGAAAATACACACACAAAAAAAAGATTTGAATCACAACAAATTTTCTTTTTTCTTTCATTTTTGTCGTTTTTTTCGGCTACAGGGTGTCACTCGGAATACGGATCGTAATTATTGGTAAAATTTCGCCAATAAATAATATTTATTTAATAAATTAAACGAATGTCAATAACGACTGTGATGGTGTTATGCATTCTTGTCAATTCGCTCTAAATACAAATACCTACATATGTTTTTATGCGGCGTTTATAAATAAAATGTGTGTGTATAAATATTATTAGGTAATTTCTATAAACAACAAAAATCCATAATTTATGACACTGCGCAATAGGTGGTGATGGCGGATGGTGGACGGTGATAGTCTGTCGAAGAGTTTTCAATTATCGAACAAAAACAATAATGGGATATTGTTTGGAAGAAGGAAAATGTTTTTTTGATGATATTTTGGGAAAACGGATAAATTAGTAGCTATGGTTATTTTGGGAAGACGTAAACTATTTGGGTCCATATATCTTCTAATGATTTAGTGTTATATTTTATTTCACATTCGGGATGCGTACGAATCTGGGCGCAAGCAGATCTTTAGAAAATCTGGTGAATTTGGTTCTATATTAAATTCAGCTGCAGTGAGGAAAGGCCAAAAATTGGTCGGAGTCGACTACATGATACCCTACACCATTACATAGAGCTCACGTAATAAAAAGTTTATATTGCGAATTTATGTGAAGTAGATCATACCAACTATAAACCAAATAACATTGCTGTATGGTGCATGGTATGACTTCGATAAGGATTATATTAAAAAAATATTTATTGTAGCAATAGATGTACCGGACCGAATTTCACCACATGGTAAAATTCCGTTGAATATGAAAAAATCTATTCAATTTGAGATGATATTACATAGATGATAAGCGATAACCGTAAAATCGGAAGATGTATATCAGAGGTATAAAAAACCTGAATTGATTTCGATTAAATTTTCGATTTCGATTAAATTTTCCGATGTCTGGTATCAAATATCATTGTTGTGGAGAGCATAAGAGGAACTTTAACACCAAATCGGATGAAACATATATATGGAAGCTATACCTATATCTAAACAGATTTTCACCAAAATTTAAAGCACTTGCTTTTAGGCTGAATTCCGTCGGATTTTAGCTGATATGAGTCATTTGATGCACAATAAACCTGAAATCATCATTATCTGATTATATGGGAGCTATATCGAAATCGGAACCGATCTTGACAAAATTCTAAACATTTATTTCTGCCCTGTTTCTGATATCTGGTACCAAAGACTATTGTTGTGGAGTACATATTATGCATGTAATGGACTTAAACCCCCAAATCGGATGTGCCAAATGTAAGCTTCAAATCACAAGTCGTTGTAAACTCTACAGTGATTATAACAGACAGACACCCGGAGAGACGGATATTAATAAATTTGAATGCCTAGAGCCTGCTTTTCAATATTCTTGCAGGTTCAATGAACAAGTATTACAATGCTTCGGCCACCTTTTTACATCGAGTTAACTAAAGTCTAAAATTCCAAGTTTTAAAGGAATTTTCTATTTTCCCTGCAGAAATTGTACCTTCTAAGCCCATTGCTAGTGCCAAAGTATTTTCTGATTTTAAAACTTTGAAATATTTAATATTTATATTTTCTGTCCACATTCGGTAATATTCACTAATTTAGGGAAGTCAACCAGAAAAATCTTTGTGTTGCTGGGATTTTGGTTTTTTCTATCTATTATTTCACATTTTATATAGTTATAGTTATTCAAAATGTTGACCCTTTGTGGGGGTGGTACTTGATGGAGTGGGCCGATATTGTCAAATTTCGTACCTGACCTAGCATTGATACATGTATTGGGATTTACAAAATTTGAACAAAATTATATTATCTTTTCTTTTTTGCTATGTTAAGTACTTTCTAAATTTCGATCTTTTGTGGGGGAGGTACCAGAAGGAGTGGACCGTCCATCAGAGTGGGTATCGTCCATCTCCCAGCTCAATCTAAGTTTGTCCATAACACTACCATGTACCAAGTTTGGTTCAAATCGGATACTCCCTTCGTTAGTTATCGTACGCAACAGTCAGTCAGTCAGACGCACGGACGGACACCCCGATACCAAATGCCCTGATATGGATTTGATCCAAAGGGACGTAGGGTCTAAAACCTTTATTTCGAGGAGATACGTTTTGGCCATATGGCTGAAGGTATAAAAATAGCATCAATCTCGATTTAGAATAAACTTTTGTCCTTTTGACAAATTAAGAACTTTTGGGAATTAGGAATTGGGGAAAATTGATAGTGGGTTTCATACTAAGTTTTAGATAAAAACCCCAAAAGAGTTTCTGATTCGTAGGTCACACTTGTTTAAGGTCTCTATTAAGCCTCGACCATATTTAAATGGATTCCAATATTTTCAGATATATTTTGCAACATTTAATATAGGCCTTTTGGCGAAATCAAATGTAAAATAAGACAACATTGTAAAAAAATGTTTGAAATCCCTGTTTTAGCAGGGACTATAATACCAGGTAGACCCATTTAAAATTAATGATGGTATCTCATTTCCAAAACCAACCATCCTAGACACAATACAAATTGTTTTGCTAAATTTTGAAGCTTGTAGCATATAACGTCTGTATGTATGGTTGGTGTTGTTGTTGGGTTATACACTGAATGGTATGCACGCTTTAAAGCCAGCCTTCTGCTCGCCGGAGGGGGGGGTTCCAAAAATATCAATGTCCCAATGCCATTGTGCTACATGAACTATATATTATTTGCGTGCATGAAAAAGATGTTGATAAATACATAAATCTCAAAAGTGTATGTTAGGAAACGGAAGACACTACCTACGCATGCCTAGATGTTTGGAGAGAAAGATGTAGAAAGAGGAAACGGACATAAACCAAAATGTTGCAGAGCGAACTGATGTTGTGTTGCTCGACATGCCCACCCAACCTAGTTGCAACAAAACAAATTCCATTAATACAAGTCGTGTTGCAACCCTTAATTGCTACAGGAAACCTTCGCCTACATCCGAGAGATATCAAACAGATATTTTTATTCTATTATTCGCAACACATGCTTGCGCTTTTATTAATATTAAATTTGAACATGATTAACTGGTAATCTTAAGAATCAGATTAACAAAGTAAAGAAAAAAAATAAAAATGAAAATATTTGACTTAATCTAACACCTTATAGTAAAATTAAATATATAAAACAAGAAACAAGATAACAAGTCTAAATTGTTTGTAAGAAAGAGTACCATTTCTTGGCATAATTTTTTTTTTTAAATAAAATCACTTCTTTTACTTCAAACTCTGATCTCAAAAAATTTCCCCATCAAACATTTAAAGGTCAACAAAATCACCATTTAATACTCATATCGCAGATAAATAAGAGCATATTCACAGGCTTATACATAACTCTATACAGATTTATCAAAGAGAATAACAAAATAATTATTCGGGATTAAAGAAAGGTGGCCAAATCATATTTGAAAAAAAACGACATATTAATTTTTGATTGTATTTCCTTCATTCATAATCTTTCAATTCATTTAAATTATTAAAATGACGAATTCTAAGTAATTTCATTTCAAATATCAAATCATATGTTCACCTTTCGTTTGTATTGCTATTCTCTTTTCTTTATCGTATTCTCACCAAAAAAAATCAAAATAAGAGGTTAATGACTTACGTGCTTTGTTGATATGCTCCCTCGTTGAAAGTACTTTCTCAGAGATGAAGTTACAGCAACAACAGCTTAATGGTGTAAATGTGCATGTAATAAGAGATGCGGATAATTCAGACGTAAGAGACTGTGATAATTGAAATTGTTGTGTCATGCATGTTGGGTCGTTGTATGTTTGACTGACATGTTGAGATCAAACAATAATCTTTAGTGGAGATTTTTATGATATCAACCGCAACGTTTGAAATCGAACATAACTGCACACACAGCACATTCAACTGACAGGTTTAATGATCATTATTAATTTTGTAATCAGGTGATAAATATGTAATTCGAGTGTGTAGCAGCTAATGTTCTATACCAAACGCCACGGAATTTACAAAATTCTTGTTTTGTTGTTTCTTTTTTTTTATACTTTTGCAAAGAAGAAAAAAAAAAAACAAAAGAATGCAGAAAAATTAATTTAAATCAAAGAAATGAAAGTAACACTTTTTTAAAGAAAAATTAGGATTCACAATATTCACTAAATATTATAATGAAGTTTACGTTGTTTCGCTTGAGTTTTTTCTTAATATTTCGAACGTGGGAACTATTTCTTTTGCAGAATTAAATATCATTTTGTCGCCATTCCAATTTTCGGTCACATTCTAGTTTATGTATATATGTAGATTTCCGCTTGCATTTTTGCTTTAGTTTTGAGAATTTTATGATGGAAATTGCAGATTTTTGTACACGACAACGCTGTACCGTCTTTCCTTATTTTTTTCGTAGCTCTTCTCTAGCTTATTTACTCACTACTAATCGTTGCTAAATGAAACCAATGATCAAGCCTAGGTATGTTGGGACGAATTATGATGTGGAACAACAATAATGATCATAAAAAATGAGTGAGGATAAAGCACATGTGATTGCAGCACAGTTGTTCCAATTTCGGTTCTCTCCTTCCATACGAAGTTACGATAAATACCTGACAAACCAAATGATATTGCGTATTAATTTCTGAGAATACAAAATTTAGTAAAGGAAGGAATATAGACAATATCAAAAACAAATCCATTTACCTTGTTAATAGGCCAATGCGGGAAGATGGAAGCGAAGTAAAATAGATGATCAACTGAGCTTACGATTTTAATAAAAAGTATGAAATTACGATACTGCGCGAAGGTATATTCTGAGAATAAGAAAATTTTTAAGCAAAAATATATACACTTTCTTTAATATTAATTCGAATCGGCAACGGGCAGAGTACTTACAGAAAATTAAAATCTTTTTCCACAATATAAAAAAAACTGCAATTAACCAAATTATCTACTGATAAATGACAGGGAAATTTGCACCACTTCAGAAATTTTTGTAATTGAAGGTGTTGATCGCTGGACTCTGTTACGGCAAAATGGACGATTCTTATGATTTTTGGTGAGATGAAACCTTCTTTAATCTTCCAAGCAATCATTGTTTCCAAAAACTTTAGAAAATGGCTAGCATGAATGTGCAGAAAAACGACAAAAGGGTTGATAGAAATCTTTCGCAATTCCATTGAAACCTGTCGTATAGAGGTCGCCTATTCAAAAAAGCAGTTGAAAAAAATTGGATTTAAAAAAAAAATAAATAATAATAACGAAAGTTTTGAAATATTTTAACAAGTTGCAAGCGCCATTACAATTCCCCCCACCAAAATCAGACTTTGGGGGTAAGGATATTTACAACCAAAGCTGATAACGCTTGCATAAAGAACTATTGCCGTATATCCTTGGTATGATAAATACCGACGAGATTACCACGGAGATCCTCTAGTTCATAAGTAGAGTTACCAAGTTTTCGACGAACTCGGGCCTTTATAAAATTTGGAGCCAATTTGGAATTATATCCCTGTGCAAAATTGCTTTGCTTAAAATTCCGGCGAAATACTTCTTGGCCTACAACATATGATACCTCTTTGGATCGCAGATTATAGGCTTTCTCATTTCTCTGGAATTGTTTCTGGATAAGATTTCTAGCTCTATTCCCCATTATGGCTAGAGAGTCATTTTTATTAAATCTTACTGTTCTATCTTCCAACATGTTTAATTGTCTCAAAAGCGGATACGTCGAACCATTGGTTATCATATGCTGGCCGAAAACAAGATAATAAGGAGTGGTTCCTATTGAAGAGTGGATTGAGGATCTGAGGGCACAGCATATATTGCTCAACATTTGGTCCCAAGTCTTCTGGTCTGGAGTTACATACGATTTTATTGCTGCCAGAACAGAGCGATTCACACGTTCTGAGGCATTAGCCTGAGGAGAATGTGTTGCAGTAAATAAATGATTAACACCGAAGCGCCGAAGAAAGCTACCAAACTGATTGGATTTGAATTGGGATCCATTGTCCGATACTATCGTCTCTGGTACGCCATATGTATAAAATAACTCATTCTCTAAGTAGTCTACTACAATATCTGAAGAAAACTTCTTCACTGCCTTTAAAAATGGAAATTTCGTAAAGTGATCCAATACCACAAATATACCTATATTACCCGCTTTAGATCTTGGATATGGACCTAAAAAATCAATATATAACTTCTGAAAGAATCGGTGGGTCTCTGACGTCTTACCCATTGGTGTCCTTATGGGTTGGTTTGGGTGTTTGGATGTCTTACAAATTTCGCAGTTGTTGACGTAATTTCTTACGTCAACCACCATATTTGGCCAAAAGTAAAATTTTCTTAGGGTATATAATGTTTTGTTAATTCCTCCATGAGCAGATAAGGGGTTGTCATGTGCCCTTTTCAATACATCAGGGATCATTTCCTCTGGAATCCACAATTTCCATGATAGATCATCTTGCACCTGATCCCCTGTTGCGTGCTCCGTGCGTCTATACAGAAACCCATCTACTATTCTCAAATCGGGCATCTTATCCAAACTTTTCCCCACTTTTACCAAAAGTTGTTTATAAGAATCCGACTTAAAACATTCCGAGCTAAGATCCACGAAAACACCACTTGATAACTGAGAACTTAAAGAGCTATCTACCTCAAAAATTTGACCTAGTTCCGACAAGTCCTCAGTGTTAGTCCTAGAAAGTGCATCTGGGACCACGTTCTGACAACCACGCCTATGTTGAATTGAGAATTTATACCCTTGAAGCTTCAAGGCCCATCGAGCTAGCCGCGTGCTGAGGTCTGTTTGGGACATGAGCCACTTCAATGACGCATGGTCAGTGATGACAGTAAACTCATGTCCTTCCACATACGCTCTGAATTTTTTAATGCTCAGCATTGCTGCCAAGCATTCCTGTTCGGTCACCGAATAGTTTCGTTGGGCTTGATTGAGTTTCTTTGACATAAATGCTATAGGAAACTCTTCACCCTCCGAATCTCTCTGGACCAGTACACCTCCTATTCCAGTTTTACTAGCGTCACAGTGTATGAAAAACGGCTGTGAGAAATCTGGGCTATGTAAAACTGGCGCGGTACTCAGACAGGTTTTTAAAGCTTCAAACGATTTCTGAGCTTCCTCATTCCAAATAAACTTTCTTTTGGTTTTAGTCAAATCGGTAAGAGGCGTGGCTATCGACGCGTAGTCCCTGATGAATTTCCTATACCAACCCGTCATGCCTAGGAATCGCCTTACTTGTTTAACAGACTTGGGCGTTGGAAAATCTGATATAGCGGAAACTTTATCCGGATCTGTTCTTATTACACCGCCACCAACCAGGTGACCCAGATACCTAACTTCTGAAACACAGAAGTTGCTCTTCTCCACATTAATAGTTAAGCCGGACTCCTTAATTTTGCCTGCAACGAGCCTTAGAACGTCCAAATGCCTTTCAAAAGATTCCGAAACAATCAACAAATCGTCGAGATAAACGAACACCTCTGTCCTGAGAGCCGGTGGTATGACCTTGTCCATCAAACGTGACATCGTCTGAGGCGCATTACAAAGGCCGAAAGGCATGACCGTGTAATGGTACAACGGCCTCCCAGGAACAGTAAATGCAGTTTTCTCTCTCGATTGTTGATCCAACGGAATCTGCCAAAAGGCATCCTTCAGATCCAAGGCCGTTATAAATTCAGCTTTCGGCAAACGACTTAGAATGCCATCAATGTGGGGCAGAGGATATGCATCCCCAACAGTCACGGAATTTAACTTCCTGCTGTCTAGACAGAGTCTGTTTTTCCCCGGTTTTCTATGAAGAACCACAGGTGACGACCACGGACTATTGGATTCCTCAATGACCCCGAGTTCAAGCATCCTGTCTAATTCTGCGTATATTAGCTTCTCCACAGCGGGAGACACTGGAAAATGCCTCTGTTTAATTGGTTTGGCGGATCCTGTGTCAATGACATGATTTATAACATGGGTTCTACCTAAACCTTGCTTGGAAAATGATGGAAACAAGCTAACAATTCTATCTAATTGCAGTCTCTGTTTATCTGACAACTGAACTTGTGGAGCCATTTCGGAAATAAATGACGAATTGTCTGAAATATAGTCATTCAGGACCAAACCATGAGGAAGAAGATCAAAAAGATTCCAAAAGTCTACTCCCAAAAAGAGGTCTCTATCTAAGCTTGGAATAATAAAAATCGTAATATTCCTTTCTGATCCCTTAAATATTATCTTTGTATCTACGCATCCAACAATGTCTTGATTCTTTCCATCCGCTGTTCTAACAAAGGAACTTATCTTTTTATAAGGTTTACCTGAATCTAGATAGTTTCTAGCAGCTGTAGCCCCTATGCAACTCAGAGAGGCACCGGTATCCATTAAGCCTAGCATTGTTTGACCAAAAAGAATGACTTCAGCATACGGCCGGATATCGGAGGGTTTGTCCAATACAGAGCACATGAATTTTCTATTAAAACTCTTTATATTCCTCCAAAATTCTCGAATTCTCTTGGCCGATCTAGATGGTGCACTTTTCTTGTTGAAAATCCTATCCCTGGCTTCATAGTATTCCTTTATACGAATATGCAAAGGCTTAAATTTAAGGATCGAATCGGTCGTATCGCATTCGGGAGTAATCTTTGTAAATTTGTTGTCACATTTGGGTGTAGGGTTGGTTTCTGGTCTTTTTAGAATATTTATTCTGAATCCGGTTTCCTTTTCGGTGCACTTGCCAGCGCACCCGATCGGGAGTTTTTTGGATTGCACTTCTTACAAGATGGCTTGTAAGTGTCTGGAGTTCCGCATCCGTAACAAAAAATAGTCCTATCTGATAGACAATCTTGGTATCGATGCCCTATCTGGCGGCAATTCCAACAACTAAGGCTAATCGATGCAACATGATCATTTTCAGTACTTGATGATTCCATGTCATCTTCGACCAAAACTTCTTCCAGTCCATAAACTTTCTTTGTCATAAGAGATGGTTTCGATAAACCACTGGAATGTTTCCGGCGGATATCCTGAAGGAAAAACTCTCGTCTCCTACATATGTCTCTAAGCTCCTGAATAGAAGTTATACGTATGTTCAATATTTCGTGTTGTATTTCCGGCAAAAGATTTCGCCGTAAAATTTCGACCAACATATCGTTTGATAGAGATTCTTTTAATCTGTCAGTCAATTCCACTACAGAGTCATAGAAGCTATCAAAGCTTTCGCCTTGCTTCTGCTTTCGGTCCCGGATCAATTCCCTTATGTCAACATCGGAACGGGAATCGCTAAACTGCTGTTTTAATGCCATACACAAATCATTCCACGAAACCCTGGAAACTGATCTGTGATATCGCCAAAACCAGTCAGCAGCCTTACCTTCAAAAAGGGAACTAGCATTTCGACAGAGTAAATCAAAATCCCCTTGAAGTGTTTGTACTGTCAGGGCCTTCACTCTATATATAAAATTCTCTACCGTCAAACCATTCGGACTCCCTGAGAATTTTATCCTCCAATTGGACATAATATTTAAAACTTTATCAGGTCTTGATGACAAATCCGATGACGAAGAGTGACTAGACGCAGAAGGTCCACAACGGCTAACGTTTAAATTTACATTACTCTGAGAGTGATTGTGGGATAAACCTAACATTTCACGGAAAGTTTGTTCCTCAACTGCAGGCAAAGTATGCATTTGCCTCTGTGGAGTGTTATGAGTATTCGGTTGTGGAACAACACCTGTAGAAATACTCGCACCGTTTTGACTGAGTCCCTCCAATTTAGACTCAATACTATTCTGGACAATTCGCGATATTTGATCTCCTAAGCTAGCTAATAACTGTTCTTGCTGCGCAAACACAATAGATCTAACCATCTCCTGAAGTTCGCTAGGACGCATGCTCACATCATTGCCAGCGGCATCCCCACTTGGACGTACATTTGCAGCAGTACTGGGCTGCTCAATACTAGATTTATTACTTGTTAGCTGAGCTGATGTGGATCTGGATTGAGATCTAGTACTAATCCCCGATGTACTAGGGGTAGAGGGTTCATTAAACAACCTGGCATTACAGATGGGGCAATAGGGTCTAATTTTCTCACATTTCGATAGACACGCCTTATGAAAGGTATGTCCACAATTTGTTCTGAAAAACTGTGTTTTCACATTAATTAATGCAGAGCATGCTCCACATGTTGGGATAGTTTGTCCAGAAGCTTCGTGAACAACGTCCTCACTATTCTGTTCAACTGACATCTTGTATGAATATCCTAATAGACCGCAGACAAAATTCCACAACCCAGTAGACCAACGACTATAATCCTGATAAAAATAAAATGTATGATTTGTAAAACTAAAAATATATTCTAATTTCGAATGAACGAAAAAATCATTAGAATCATATAAAATTAAATGATAGAGAAAATTTCCAACACCTAATTGAGAAAATTAACAAAGATTGTAATTATGTTAGCAACAATAATAATATAATTCCCTTAAAAACTGATATTATGAAAAATACATATAAATGTATATAATGTATCGAAATACGATTGACAATTTTGGAAATTCAAAAAACCAAAACAAAAATTGGGAACATATTTCAACTGTACTCAATTCTGATATGAATATCGGATTACCAAAATTCAAATTTATTTACAAATTTATTTCTATCTGTTTGATTACTCTCTTTAGCTAGACAGGTTTCCCTTTAACATCAACATTTGGTGGCGAAGAAAATATAAGATATATTAGAAGAGAAAAAGAATTCAAACTCCGGTACAGAAATCCCGAGAATTTCCTATAAATCCCGAGAATGAGACAGATTTAGATTTTGTCAGTCTAAAATATTTGAGGCCAGATCTAGTACAAAACCCCAGAAAACTGTATTCCATCAAGTCTCTTAGAATTGACAAGTAGCGAACTGATAAAATATAGAAATATGCTGGTTATCACAGGATATTCCAACCCTAAATAAATTCCAAGCAGTTCCTAATATTTTAATAATGACAAAAGGATTGGTAAATCCAAGAAAAGAAAGTTAAAGAGACACAATTATGAGATTACTTTATAACTTTTGTGAAGCCGAACATTTGTGACAATCAGTCAGGTGGAAAAAAATATTAAAAATTATTGTTCGGGCCGACACGTTGGGCGCCATTTATAATTCTGTAGCATATAACGTCTGTATGTATGGTTGGTGTTGTTGTTGGGTTATACACTGAATGGTATGCACGCTTTAAAGCCAGCCTTCTGCTCGCCGGAGGGGGGGGTTCCAAAAATATCAATGTCCCAATGCCATTGTGCTACATGAACTATATATTATTTGCGTGCATGAAAAAGATGTTGATAAATACATAAATCTCAAAAGTGTATGTTAGGAAACGGAAGACACTACCTACGCATGCCTAGATGTTTGGAGAGAAAGATGTAGAAAGAGGAAACGGACATAAACCAAAATGTTGCAGAGCGAACTGATGTTGTGTTGCTCGACATGCCCACCCAACCTAGTTGCAACAAAACAAATTCCATTAATACAAGTCGTGTTGCAACCCTTAATTGCTACAGGAAACCTTCGCCTACATCCGAGAGATATCAAACAGATATTTTTATTCTATTATTCGCAACACATGCTTGCGCTTTTATTAATATTAAATTTGAACATGATTAACTGGTAATCTTAAGAATCAGATTAACAAAGTAAAGAAAAAAAATAAAAATGAAAATATTTGACTTAATCTAACACCTTATAGTAAAATTAAATATATAAAACAAGAAACAAGATAACAAGTCTAAATTGTTTGTAAGAAAGAGTACCATTTCTTGGCATAATTTTTTTTTTTAAATAAAATCACTTCTTTTACTTCAAACTCTGATCTCAAAAAAATTTCCCCATCAAACATTTAAAGGTCAACAAAATCACCATTTAATACTCATATCGCAGATAAATAAGAGCATATTCACAGGCTTATACATAACTCTATACAGATTTATCAAAGAGAATAACAAAATAATTATTCGGGATTAAAGAAAGGTGGCCAAATCATATTTGAAAAAAAACGACATATTAATTTTTGATTGTATTTCCTTCATTCATAATCTTTCAATTCATTTAAATTATTAAAATGACGAATTCTAAGTAATTTCATTTCAAATATCAAATCATATGTTCACCTTTCGTTTGTATTGCTATTCTCTTTTCTTTATCGTATTCTCACCAAAAAAAATCAAAATAAGAGGTTAATGACTTACGTGCTTTGTTGATATGCTCCCTCGTTGAAAGTACTTTCTCAGAGATGAAGTTACAGCAACAACAGCTTAATGGTGTAAATGTGCATGTAATAAGAGATGCGGATAATTCAGACGTAAGAGACTGTGATAATTGAAATTGTTGTGTCATGCATGTTGGGTCGTTGTATGTTTGACTGACATGTTGAGATCAAACAATAATCTTTAGTGGAGATTTTTATGATATCAACCGCAACGTTTGAAATCGAACATAACTGCACACACAGCACATTCAACTGACAGGTTTAATGATCATTATTAATTTTGTAATCAGGTGATAAATATGTAATTCGAGTGTGTAGCAGCTAATGTTCTATACCAAACGCCACGGAATTTACAAAATTCTTGTTTTGTTGTTTCTTTTTTTTTATACTTTTGCAAAGAAGAAAAAAAAAACAAAAGAATGCAGAAAAATTAATTTAAATCAAAGAAATGAAAGTAACACTTTTTTAAAGAAAAATTAGGATTCACAATATTCACTAAATATTATAATGAAGTTTACGTTGTTTCGCTTGAGTTTTTTCTTAATATTTCGAACGTGGGAACTATTTCTTTTGCAGAATTAAATATCATTTTGTCGCCATTCCAATTTTCGGTCACATTCTAGTTTATGTATATATGTAGATTTCCGCTTGCATTTTTGCTTTAGTTTTGAGAATTTTATGATGGAAATTGCAGATTTTTGTACACGACAACGCTGTACCGTCTTTCCTTATTTTTTTCGTAGCTCTTCTCTAGCTTATTTACTCACTACTAATCGTTGCTAAATGAAACCAATGATCAAGCCTAGGTATGTTGGGACGAATTATGATGTGGAACAACAATAATGATCATAAAAAATGAGTGAGGATAAAGCACATGTGATTGCAGCACAGTTGTTCCAATTTCGGTTCTCTCCTTCCATACGAAGTTACGATAAATACCTGACAAACCAAATGATATTGCGTATTAATTTCTGAGAATACAAAATTTAGTAAAGGAAGGAATATAGACAATATCAAAAACAAATCCATTTACCTTGTTAATAGGCCAATGCGGGAAGATGGAAGCGAAGTAAAATAGATGATCAACTGAGCTTACGATTTTAATAAAAGTATGAAATTACGATACTGCGCGAAGGTATATTCTGAGAATAAGAAAATTTTTAAGCAAAAATATATACACTTTCTTTAATATTAATTCGAATCGGCAACGGGCAGAGTACTTACAGAAAATTAAAATCTTTTTCCACAATATAAAAAAAACTGCAATTAACCAAATTATCTACTGATAAATGACAGGGAAATTTGCACCACTTCAGAAATTTTTGTAATTGAAGGTGTTGATCGCTGGACTCTGTTACGGCAAAATGGACGATTCTTATGATTTTTGGTGAGATGAAACCTTCTTTAATCTTCCAAGCAATCATTGTTTCCAAAAACTTTAGAAAATGGCTAGCATGAATGTGCAGAAAAACGACAAAAGGGTTGATAGAAATCTTTCGCAATTCCATTGAAACCTGTCGTATAGAGGTCGCCTATTCAAAAAAGCAGTTGAAAAAAATTGGATTTAAAAAAAAAATAAATAATAATAACGAAAGTTTTGAAATATTTTAACAAGTTGCAAGCGCCATTACAAGCTCTACATTAAATAACGTCGGCTGATCATTATTAAGGATGTTACAAAAGAAATGACAAAGTTAATATACCATCCTTTTTAAGGTGGAACATATAAAAAAGTATCAAATTCCGAAAAAAAACAAGTGAGCAAAGGCTATAGTCGTGCAGGGCCGAACATGTGATACCCTACAACACTACAATATGTTCGAAGTCCACTTATGCCCAAATCCCCTTTGCATGATTTCGGGTTTGAAATAACGTGAAAAATAATGTCCCTCTCTTTTGAGGCCTATAAAGTAACTACAAAATTAGAAAAATTTTAAATTTTTTGCTGCATTTGAACCTCTAAATGTAAATTTTTAGAAAAATGGCCTTTAATTCTACCTCCATGCTAAATTTCGTGAGAATCGGACGATAATTGCGACATGTATATAATACCCTAAAAACGTAGTGTTGTGGGTATAAAAAATTAGAAAATTTACAATCCAAAATTGTAAGTCAAATTTAAAAAATAGCATGCGATAAAAAAGTATGACAATAATTTAAAAAAATGGAAAAAAAAAGATATTAACATATAATTGATGGGAATTGTGGAAATCGGCCCCGCAGTACTTGACTTATAAGCACAATAAATAAGATCTATTCAGTTACATATATATTGTACCTATTTTCCTATATCCGATTTCTTGGCTATCAGCATCACTTTAACGGTCAGAAGTGACCTTTTAGTTTAGTGGAAATTTTCCTATTTTCTTACGTAAAAGTTAGGATCTATTTTACCCGCTAAATAATATGTTATGATTCTGTCCAATCCCAAACTCTAACTCCATGTAAATTTCCGTGTCGATTAGCTCATAATTGTGGCCTATAGAGCACCTGCAAAATCAAGAAAATTTTTCTGTTTTTGGTCCATTGCAACCCCTAAATATTTTGCAATCTTCTCGAAAAACAATAGGGTACCTCCATATTCAATTTCGTGAGGATCGGGCCATAATTAGCTTGATAACAAATTATCATGGACAGATGGACAGCAGGACGGACATAGCTAGGTCCACTCTGCTCGGCGAGATAGAAAGATCCATATATACTTTCCTATGTGGGAAACCAATATTTGGAGGTGTTACATAATTTTTGGCCCAATCAAACTTATAATACCCCTAACACATAGTGTTGTAGGGTATAATTATGAAATTATTATTTGTATTGAGAATCGTCGATACAATTTAATATTTGAAGATTATGTCATACAAGTTTTGACCGCTATTATCCATCCGATTAGTCCAGTTTTGGCATACTTTTTCCAACTTTTCGAACGAATTACCGCTTTAATGTTGAAATTGAACAGGGCTGTCTATTTAGACATAAGCTCTAATATAGCTCTAACATAAAAATCCTTAAATATATTTGGCAATGATTTTATTTTTCGATACAATTATTTTATGTGGCGCCGAAAGAATTTAAAATGTAATTATTTTTGTCTTTTTTCATCCCACAGTGCCTTAAGAGTGTATAATAATTGAAATCAAATTATTTTGTGTGTTAACAATTATTTTGAAATTATAAACAATTGGTTTATTAACCCGAATGTTCTTGCCCGTAAAACTGTTTAACACCCTGTTTGCCGGCAAAAAAACATGCCACAGAAACACAGAAGTGTTTCTTTTTTAGAAAAAAAAAATCAACAAAAACAAAATAGTAATTTATTTTATTTTTCTCTTTGTATTTTAGCGCATAATGGCAACGCCAACGGAAATAAAACTACAAGAGCATCAAATCCAACGACGACAACAAGAGCAACAATTAAGAAAAAGAACTAAAATTAATTTAGACAACAAGTAGTGGAAGAAAACTAAAGAACTTAAAATAAATTTATCACAAAGAAACAAAAATAAAATTAAATAAGAAGCAACACAATTTGAAAATAGAAAAAAAAAAAAAACTAGCAACAACAACAACAATTAACGAAATAGGTATTTAAATTAGAAAAATACAACGACTTCTGAGAGTGAAATAGCAAAAAAAAAAAGAAACATATTTTTGTGTTCTACAAGAAACAAAAAAAAAACCGACTCACACAACCCACACTCTAGCCCCAATATCAGCACGAGCTATGTCGTTGAGCGGTGTGACCGCAACCTCGACCATCATTCTCCGCAGCAACAACAAAAAACATTAGCATCCCCGCCACAGCCACTACCAACCAACACACGACAGCAAAATGAGGGAAATTTCTCCAATCAATGGCATTAGCCACTACAACAACAGCAGCAGCAAGAACAACAACAACCACAATACAATCATGAAGAAGAACAACGCCACCTCAAAAATATAATCAAAAGAACCAAAAAAAAAAAATTGTTTGAAATTTTTTTGAAAAAAAAAAAAATAAAATAATATTTTAAAATATAAAAAAACAAATATGCGAAACAAATATAATCGAATATAAGCAAACAAATACAACAACAACAACAAAAAATTAAAAAAAAAAATAAAAAACAAATATATAGAAATAGACAACAACAAAGCACTAGAGAGACAACTCTTGGCACGGCCGTGGCAGTCAAAATGAAAAGCAAAAAAATCGCCGAGTTTTTCACTTTCGCTGCGGAACGTTTATTGTCTTCATCATTTTTTGGAAAATTAAGACTTTGAATAAAAAATTTCTGAAATCGAGTCCTCAGTCGTCGGATGGCATAAAAAGATAAACGCGCGCGTGTGTTTTCCCAACCAAACGAAAGCTAACCAGAGCAAAAAAACGTGTTGAAAGTGCTTACAAAGTATTCAGATTGACCTGCAAGTGAATGGAAAAAAATTGCAGGAATTCACTGCGAAAGCAAAACAAAACAAGTGAAAGTGAAAATGTGAAAAGTGCAAACAGTAAAGGAAAATAACAAAAAGTGGAGAGAAAGAAACCCCAGAAAAAAATTCAAATAATAAAGGGAGAGAAAGAAAAAAAAAACAAAAAAATATATTTAAGTTATTTATTTAATAAAAAAACGCAATCAAAAATTTTTCTATCAAAATCCAGCAACAACAAAAAAATATTTGTAATGTCTACAAAATCCAAAAATCCCATCACATTTACACACCTAAACAGCAACAACAACAAAAACACCTTAACCTCTAACATCACTTCCACAAAGACTACAAGCCAAGCAATAGCATTACATGGGAACGATACAACGATATGGGGCTACGGCACCCCACCTGCTGCAGCAGCAGAAACGGTGGTGGCCCCACGGAAAGATCCAACGTTGGAGGTTGATGAAGCTGTAACAGGAAAAACATTGAAACAAAATGTTTTACATCGAATAAGGCATCGGCATCATCATCACCATCATCATTGCAGGCCGTCAACGAAAACCAAAGATTCAATAGCAAACCAAATACCTGCAGCATACTCCGTAGCACCCGCCACACCACCCCCATCATCTACATCATCGACAGCATCATTGGCATTTGAGAGACAGACTTTGTCGCCTAATCTTCCAGCATCTTCATCAACAACTCCGCACACTCCCATCACCACCACCACCGCAACAAGAAGTACAACAAAATGTTTAGCTGCCACATTGGCTGCCACCGTTTGTTATGCCGCCAGTAGCATTAATGCCGTTGCTGCCGCGGCAGCCCATGCATCACGGACGCCATCACATCATTCAGTACAATCACAACCACCTGCTCCTGCGCTCTCCACATTTCTGTCCTACGATGCCGATGTACCGCATTCCATGTCATTGCTAGACGGCTCCATGGCCCAGCAGCTGGAAGAGGCTTCAACGTCGTCCAACACAACCGCCGCTCAATATCTACACAATGCAGCGGCATCCACTGCCACCTCAGCATTGGCCGCTGCAGCGGCCGCTGTTAATTCGACATTTTTCGATGATGCCGGCGGCGGCGGCAATGACACTGTGACAGATTCGAGCGGAGATTGGCTGGACGATTTGGCGCTGATCATGAAGGCTTCCGTAATGTTGATAATCATAATTGCCGCCATATTTGGAAATTTACTTGTTATTATTTCTGTGATGCGTGTTAGAAAATTAAGGTAAGTTGAAAATGGAATTGAACTTATTTCAGATCATTTGCGAAGAAAATCGTATTGTTTTCCGATGTTTTCATATGCTATACAGTTGTTAGGAATCCAACAAGTTTTGAAACTTACAATTTTGGTAGTGTTCCTCCAATGATTGTTTCCCATAATATCTTCCTCGAACTCCTTAGCATGAGAATTTTTATCAATCATAATATCGTGTGGACTAAACTTTTACTTTTTAGTACTCAGAAGGAACTCCTTGTGTAGAATTTCAGACAACTACATTATTACATCCTCCACCTTGTTAAAACTTGATTTATAGTCAAATCGGTTATTCGCAAAATCCTTAAAATGCTTCAGTTACGTTATATGAGATTATGCCTATGCTGAGTATTTTTTGAGAGAAGTTAAATTATCAAGAACCCGAAAAGTCAAATTTAACCTGATTTT